GCGCGGTTAAAAGGATAAGTATAATTTTTCGATTACCTGAAAAATCGATGGCGCGTCTATTCCAATCGTTTCGGTTAATTGAGATTGTATCGTGTTACGCTATTATTGATAAACCTGATTCGGTTACACATAATCGCATAATGAATACATGAAATATCGAATGCATTGGGCTATTGGATTGCTTTTTGGAATTTTGAATTGTTCGCTTTTTCGATCTGGTATAGTAAACGACATTGTTTGAAACCAGATCGCATAGCTCCTCGTTTAGTACCAAAATCCATTGTTTCAAATTTACTTATAACGATCTGAATGTTATCGAGAACAATTGTGATTTTTGAATGTAAAATTGTTTCAAATTAGGTTGTGGTTTTCTATACGAAGCTTCATAGTTATTCAATCGAATGTTTCGGATTTACGATTAATTAACAATTGTTAGCGGTGGAATTTAAAAAAACTCGACACGTGAATTGGAGATAACGAAATTTAAATAAATCGAGTTCAAACGAAGCAATTACACATGCAAAACTATTAAAAGAAGCAATTAGAGAGGCTGAAGCTCAACAAATAATTCTCCACAAATTTCATTTTTCAGTCCTGGTAATTATACTTAAAGCAATCTAAATATTACATCGTTAATTGTACGCGATATGTAATCGAATTGAGAACAATTGTTAAACCGTTTCGCGTGATCTTTTTCGAACGTGTCACCCGCAGCACTACTGTTCGTTTGTCCGATGAATAAATAAATTATGAACAAACTGTAAGTGTAGCATCCAAACAGGCACAGCAATTATGGAACGTGATCTGCAAATTTAATATCGTCAGGTTAAATTCAAATTGTGCTGGCTTTGTTCGTAGAGCTATTACCATAAGGAATAATCGATCGCCTGGGGATTCGGCGCGTGGATCGCGAATAAAAATGTCTATTGGAATAATTACCATAATTACCATTAATTTCATTCGTTTCTATTTTATATAATCAAATCAACGGAACTTTTCGTAACGACTATATCACTTTGCGTGGCTATTATCTCCGGCATAGAATATTCTTACCCTTACTACAAGCAGTCGATAATTTGTAAAAGGAGAATAGCTTTACACAAAGTACTCTGCAAACTCGCGAGTTTCTAGAATCCAAAGTCTCGACATATTTGCGTTTAAAGCAGCCACCCTATCCTTACTATATTTACGTACGACGAGTGTAGCAGTATGTGCTTTTACAAGAACGTAATTATTTACTCATTGAATCTCCAGCTCACTCACGGGAGTAGATTATATCAAGCATACCTCCTGGATCCGTAATTAGCGGTTAGAAAGCATCCGTTTAGCTCGCGGTTTAAATAGCGATGTCTATAGACAAATTACTATATTTATTAATATCAAACTGCGGATTTTATGCATCCGTGGCGCGTGCAAACGCGAAGAACGTACGATAAATGTGTGCGGAATATGTGTACTTTTGCGAAATGAAATATTAATATTATTACACTTTTTCACGAAATATGTTCCGCGTACGTTTTACACGCATATTTTATCCTGGCATACATCGTAAATGCAGAGAATGTTCGGTATAATTATTACGTTTCGATGTGCTTTTTTTCAGTTATTTTTTTTTTTTTTTTTTAAATGAAGGTATTTTGTAATACAGCGTATACATCTGTACGAATGGAGACGTAGATACTATTCTTACTTGAAACAGCGTACCGATACGCGAATCGGAAATTAATTTATCTTTACTTGAAACTTATCGTCATTTACTTCTTCAACGTCAACACTATGTCTCTTTGGTTTACCGTTCGCTAATTCTTTTTTCCGTCTCCCAGCAGAGTCGCACCTCGTTCGAACTGACGTTTCTAGAGATGGCTGAAAGGTGAGGACAGTCGGTTTGATTGGCTCACCTGCCAAAACGTCAGACACTCGCACGCACACCAACGCCGAATGCGACCATCGATCTGAACATATCACGAACGACATCGATTCTTTTTCGGCGTTGACACGCTTCAATCGCGAAGGCTATTGTTCGATCAACTGATTGCGCGTGTTTACGTTTCGGCCACTAGCCAGGTGACCTGTCACCCATCCCAGATTATTTCCCCTCCCCACCACTCTGTTTTATATTCTTGTAATTTCACTTTTAACGCGCAATGCTACGAATTGTTTTTACCTATTTTACATTGCAATTTAATGATGTATATATTCTCTGTAAATGACATTTCTTCCCGTTTCACATATTTTCACGTATGAACGATCAGAATGAAATGTTTAATATCCCAGGTAAACGCATGGCGAAACGTTTAAATATATAATACGTTTACACGACGCTTATTTGATCAGTTTCCATTCCAGTTGATTTATCGCAATAACAACCAGTATTTACTACCAATTTTACGTACAATTAGTCGAAAGTAAATGTATTAACACGTACTTGTGACAGATTCAGAAAATGAATTTTCTCGATAACGGGGGACCATACAAAAAATTGTCATCGTTTTTCGATTTGTTCCTGCTCGGAGAACCCTTTCCCATTTTATTATCGGAACCGAGGCACCCTGTATAACGCGTGATACGATCGAACAGTAGTGGAATTAAAGAACGAGGGGAATCAAGCCCAACTCCGCAGATTAGAATAATTTATCGTCAGTTATCGCTTCATCGCGAGCTTCTAGCGTGCCATGTGTCTGAAAGAAGTGTTTCGCTCGCCGCGTGAACCAAATCGCCAGAAAACTTACGTAACAGTGAATAAATGGTCGGTTAAAGTCTCTCCGTTGGCTCCGAAACGTTTCCCGCCACGTCTCTCTCTCTCTCTCTCTCTCTCTCTCTCTCTCTCTCTCTCTCTCT